GAGGTACAACAATAACATGAGGCGGAGATGGTAGCAGGGCCCAGGACTTTGCCAGATGGAGGAGTTGCAGGCAAGCCTTTGCTTTGAGATTGAGCAGCAATTCTCTTTCTTGTCAGTATCCATAATAAGCACCAGACGCCCAGAAGAATACCAGCAATTACTCCACCAGCTATAAAGAGGTCTAAAGATCAAAAGCAGAAAAGAATGTTCAAATTGTAACTCACCTTTGGTAAAAATGTTAATGCTAGAAAAATATAAGATATTAAGGATAATTACCTGTAACGAGTGGTATTTTTTTCTTATCTGCAACAATCACAAGATTCAAAAATTCAGTAAAAACATCCATGACAGAATTGTAACAATCGAACATCAAGATAGACCAAGCTATACCGCAGAAGTTTAGGTGAACTTAATTATGGTTCTGGAAGCAAATGCAGAAATAATGAAGAAACTAGAAATTAGGCAAAGAACCAACATTAGTGAACAATTCAACCCCAAAACATTCCTTCAAAAAATTCTTTGCTGTTCTTATAATCTTACAGACTATAAGAATTATTTATATGGATGGATCAAAATCAACATGAAATACCTCATCAGGAATACCTGGTATGCCACAAATTCGATCACCACAAATGCAAACAAATTAACTGATCCAAAAACCCACACTTCCCACCCGAATCACGACACATAGCGCAATCGTCCGCATTTGGAGTAGTATAATTCACACTAAATCCCTCCATTAAAGCTTCCCTAAGAGTAGACCTATTGGTCTCAAGTTTATCCGGCGCAGCTTGCAACATGGGGCAGTTTGATGCTGATGTTACAGCGAATAATCTTGAATATGGGATCGTTCGGAACTGGACCCAACACATGGTACGCGGCACTACTAGAAGTCCCATTCCGCACCAGAACAGGTTCTCCGGAGTATACGCCTGGACCGGAGTACACCCATAGAACAGCGAGAGGTTTTGGTTGTCTGGGCTGAGATTGAATAAAGGGGAACTCAGATTGTTGTTAGCAAATTTGTGGGTACATGTGTTGTTGTACAGGTCCGAGCGGGAAAGCGTCTTGCTCTGTTTGTTTCGGTCGAGTTGGATGATCCTGTAAGACAGTGAGTCCATAATTAACTGGGGGATTCCGTCGTCGGTGCAGGTGAGGAGGAATCCGGGCGGGCCGCAGTATGACGGACGAGGCCCTCCGGTGAATGGGTAAGAGAGGTTTTGGAGGCCCCCACATGAGAAGGTCTGGTTGCAGTTGGGAAAGGTAGAAGTATCGTTTTGGCCAGAGGAATGCGTTCCATGGGCGGAAAGGAGGAAGATGAGCGGGAAGAGGAAAACCAGAGGGAGCATGGTGAAGGCCTGAGGAGAGGCAGAGGGCAGAGGGCAGAATAGGAGTTGCATTTTGAGAAAAGAAAGCTGGCGGGCTTGAAGGGGTAAGTGAGTTGACTGCTGACTAGAGAGGATAGTTTTGTTGACTCGAACTGAACTGTGAAATAGAAAATGGTGGCTGTCTTAAGGACAAAATCAAGAATTACTTTCCTTTCTTTTTCGCTTCCTTGTTGAGTTGATTAATGTTTGGGGCGCCGGATGGTGGTCAAATTCATATAAACCAAAAAGGTAAGAGTCAGAGAAACATTTAAATTTTAAGGAAAAAAATAAATTAAAAAAATAAAAGATATTTTACAATTTAAAATTTATTAGATTCCTGATTGAAGAAAGTGCTTCCTCTCAAGTGAGGGGAAGGAGCGATAGGAGCTGGAAGGCCGCAATTCATGATAGGGAATTGAAAGACAATAAAGTAGCTTTGGACAGCATATTTGGAAAATTAGGAAAAGAAAATTCAAACATATGCAAGCCTTATTTAGCTTTAGTTCAAAAAAAAAAAGCGCCTTTGTAGCTATTGTACCAAAAAAAGAAAAGAAAAGAAAAGAAAAAATAAATAATGCATTGGTAACATGGGCTTTGTCATGTGATATTGTGATTGAATGTGGACAGATCAGGTGAAGAGATTAACAAACAACAATTGTGGGCCGGTTTTCTAGAACTAAAAGGGATATTGGGCCCCTTTTTTTTTTTTTTTTTTATAATTTCCAAGGACATGGGTCTATGATTTTTAACAACAGAGCATGTAATGAGTTTAATTTGTTAAATAAAATGATAAAATCGGGCAATTTCTTTAACCCAACAGATAAAAAATATACAAGACTCACGTTTATTGATGTAAATTAAAACTTTTTTTTATATATTTTTAATATAATATTTCCTAATTAAATGTAAGAGTAAATGAAATGATATTCATCTTTCTATTTATTTAACATGTAAAAATAAATTAAAGCGTCCACTTATATCTAACAAGGTACATAAAGGTAAGTTTGAGATTCTCTATGATACTTTTACAAAAAAAAA